TCCATGATTCCTTTTTTTATTGGTCATATGCACCACAAGTTATCAAATGAAATAGTATCATCTATTCCATCCCACGTTGAATTATTTTTTCCTCATATCTTTTACATCAATAATTTCTCCATCAACATGCATTTAATAACATCCATTTAATTAACTACTTCGGAATATGACCAGATTTTAAAAGGAAGAAGGAATAAATATATCGAGACAGCCCATCACAAGCAGAGAAGGAACAAAAGCGCTCACAAAAAAAGAAGAACGTAAAGCAGAAAATTAGTTTCTGAATTATTAGAAAAAACCTGGAGGTTAACAACATCTTCATAAAATCGCTCAAAGGTGGGAATTCCAGCAATATCCTTTCTGAAATAGTGAAGGCAATAACAGACTTACAGTTGATTCAAGGTTTCACTACATGCTCAAGAACTTAACAGTTCTTAAAATGTGTACACCTCTACTTTCTTGGGAATGAAATTGTCACTCTCATTCTACAAAACTTAATGCAAATGTTTAGACAAAAAGAATCATCATCAATATTTGATTAGAGTCTGAAATCTCAAAATTTAAAGGAAACGGTGCCCCTTTTGTACAAAATGATTAACATACCAAGATGCTCAATAGTTTCCTCCTGCCCCAGTGTGTCATGCATTTCTCTTAATTGAAATTTTGTCAACTATTGCAGTTGGAGGTTCCGATCTATTATTGTGAGCCAGTCCTCACCTATTATTAAGTTTTTAGCATGAGACTTTGCACCATCAGTTATGTTTTTTCAGTTGTGAGCGCATTAGCTCATTCAGTAATTCACACCCCACCCTTTCCGGACTATCTTTACTCCCTCTGTCCCGATTTTATGTGAAGGGGTTAAGGGTTAGGAGTACAAGGTGAAAGCACCAAATTTTCTGTGTGAATTCGGGGATAGATTCTTCACTTTTAAGAAAATAAAATTTACATATTCGAATACTAAAGAAAAATACTACACGTCAACATAGTTAACAATTCAAAACATTTAGAAAGACTTTACGAAGATCGCAGTAAAACAAATTGTTTGACTCATCAAATAGTAACACCTTCACACAAATGTGACTGAGTGAATGCTATTTAAAAGCTTAAACCATGTGCATATCTATTTACATAATTTTTGCTTATTTTTTCCCAAATGCAGGTATCTAGCTCATTCATTATATAACACTTCATTACTTCCTGGCTATCTTTTACAGTGTATAACTAAAGAATTGAACCTACCATCAAGTTGCTTCCGATAACTTACTCCTACATATTCAGATTATATTCCAAAATGACATTCTAACTTTGAAAATATACCTGCTTCCAAGAACAAGTATATTAATCATGTTTGATAGCCAAGATCCAGAAATAGATATATTAGTGCATCTTTCAGATGCATAGTGATATCTAGAAGACATACTCATTGAGGAAAAAACCTGCATCGCTAAGGCACTTGACATTGGCATCCTTGGGTAACATCTCTCGGAAATCATCACAGTGTATGAGAGTTGCCAGACCTCCAGCCGAGCACCCCGAAAGAAGAGCCTGCAAAGTTAGGCAATAAAACGCTGCAACTCTTGGACTTCTAGGTTCATTACTTCAATAAAAGCAATAACAACATTTTTTCCTGACGAAGGAAAAGCAGTAACCACCTCTTAGTGCACTTAGAAGATATGGTATATTGATTAGAATCTTCAGAATGATGTACACTTTTTTTCTTTTTCTTTTTCTTTTTTTCCCTTTTTGAAGGTTGAATCGAGTATCTGTTAGTTTGTAGAATATATACTTCAGAACTAAAGAAAGAAATTCACTGAGAAAATGAAGAAAACAAAGCAAAATGTTTTATCTAACAGAAAAGTGAAACAACTAAAAAGTCAATGAGATAAAAGAGAAAGAATACCTGTTTAGCATTAGAAAGTCCTAATGACAAAAGTTCATTCATTATTGCTTCCCAAATAAGCTGGCCTCTGAAGAAGAGTCCCGTTCCATTCTGCCACAGATGAATCGACAATATAGGCACTCAATGCTTCTTTGCCTTCTTCTACTCACCTCCTTGATGAGCGTCAGAAAATGCACAACAATTTCATAGTCTTTAATAATAAACCTTCGAAACTTACTTTAAATTCACTCTCTGGGTGTCCAGTAAAGGATCCACCATCGCAATAGCGTATCTTGACTTTGTTCCATTCAAAGAAGTCTGAAGAAAGTGAAATTGGCCGAACAAGTGCGTAAGAACCCTTAACAAAGCAAATTTGCATATTAAAGAAAAACAAGCCAAATAGGAATACCTAGTTTTTGTCAAAAGTGACACTTGTTCTCATCAACAAACACGAAAAGAAAAACTGTGTTAATTATTGAGATTCAAAAAGAAAAGAATTCAAGTAAGTTCCTATTATTCCTCTGAGTCTTGACAAACATGAATTTTTGGAGATGGTTAATTCATCGGCAACAGAAAAATATAAAATGATCATGAGCTATCTATGTGTACTTGTAAACTTGATGTCTTCTTCTTGTAGATACAAATATTGGAGGATCCAAACTTTAAGCATAATGAAATTTGTAGCAAGATTATAATGATAACAATCATTTAACACAATATATCAAGAAGTCAATTTTTTTTGTTTACTTATTTATTTATAAAGATTAAGGAGTTATTTCCTAAACCATCATCGTTGTTAGTTACCCGGATTTAGTGATGGGTCAGAGCCCAAAATTCCATGAAAAACATCAGGCTCCATGAACTTTGAAGAGCCCAATTTTGTTGTCTGGCGAACAGAACATGTTTTTATTGAGTTACACCAGCCTCCGCCCTGCAAGATCAATAAAAACACAGTCAACAAAGAAGAAAGGAAAGAGCAAAGCAGAATATTGACATATCACATCTGCAGGCTAATGTTGTGTGCTTGGCTACAATTTCTCCCTTAACCAAGCCCATAACAACAACAAAAGTTAGAGGAATCGTGCTGCACTGCGGAAGCAAAAAATACTAGGTGATTTCTTCCAATATGTCCAAGCCTATGGAGTTATCGTATATTTGATAGGAGGTAGCAGGTACCCCGATGAAATAGTAAAAGTGAGGTAACAGGNTATATACACATATTAAATGTTGAACTCCTTGGCTTCTTCTTTTCTTCTCGTGTTTACTATTTTTATCTTTTTGAATCCCCTGCTCGTGTTTAAATTTTTTATTTTTCTTACTTAGATACTATGTTTAAGTGTGTCACCACTCCGTTTAAGAATTTAAGAATTGCAAGGGACAATTTCTAGTGAGCAACATCATGAAGCTAATTAAAAATAGAAAGCTGACCTCAACGAGAATAACCCATTTATCAGTCCCAGATCCAAAACCCTTTTGCAAATGATACCCAGGTACGCTTCCATCCAAACAAACTGCAAAAAATTACAAAAAAAAAAAAAAAAAAAAAAAAAAAAAAAAAAAAAAACTCTACACCTTACTACTTACGTTGATCACCTGTAACCAAATATATAAAAAATAAAACAAAAAAAAAGTATCTCAAAGATTAGAAAATTACAAGCTGATTTTTTCTGGGCATTGCTTAAAGGAGTAAAGGGTACCAAATCGTCGGCAGGGGGCGTTGAATTAATAGAAAATCTGTGAGAGTGAGAAATGAAGGTAAGAGTAAAAATTAGAATAGAGAGTGAGGCAGCTGCAATAGTCCACTCTCTTCGTGTTAATTTTTGCCACCATTTCATGGGTTGAAAAAATCTATGAGTCGCCATTTGTTGGTTTCGCTTTGGTTTTCGGATCAATATATTTTAGCTCTGACTTTACAACTTCGTAGCTTTAGCTGTTATTTGTCTATAAAATTGTCTTTTTGCTTTTTTAACTTTTAAGGTTGGGTAGGTGAAAGTATATGAAATAGGAAACTGATTTGTTAATTGAATTTGGACAATCATCCAACTCTTCTATAATATAGTTTAGTAAAAGATTAAATGGATCAAATCTAATACATTATCATTGTATTTACAGAAGAAAATTGCAATATTCTTTTTTTAAGGTGAAATTACACTAAGCACTTGCAGATACATCATTTCTATTTAAAATTTTAACTTAACCACATTATACTATGGAAATTCAACACAAAAATTATAGTGAAAAGCACAAATATTATTTTTAAGTGTATAGTCTAGAAAAACATGGGGTATATGTACATAGCTTTATCAAATTTAAGAAACATAATAATTTTTTGTTGGAAATTTTTATTCACCTTTTTTTAATAAAAAGGAGAAATGATATTCTTTTTGAAATATATATATATATACACACGACTCTCTTAAATTGGAAATGACAACAAATTACTTGATGGAGTAATAATTACTAACCACAAATTACTTAATGGAGTAACGATTACTAATACTAATAACTTTCTTGCATTTTGCCCGTGTAAGCTTTTTGCATTTTTTAAAAACTAAAACATATAATATTCAATATATAGGTGAATATTCCTTTGTGTAGGATTGTCATATGTACGAGTTTAAAGTGTTTAACAAAAAAATTGATTATATTTAATTTTTGTGTAAGATTTTCCTTGCATAGGTGATAAAATGCTGGATTTTAAAATACAAGGGGTCCATCTGTAATTGAATTTATAGGGAAGCTTAGTGTAATTTACCTTTGGAACAAGACACTTTAACTAATTCGTGATATTAGCATATTGTTGAGTTTAGAAAAAGTTAATTTACTTATACACTATAACTTTTGTATTTTGCGTAATATGTATGTGTGTGTGTGTGTGTTTTGTATTCTTTATTTGTGCATCAAAGCAAAATACAAATATAGTTCTTGACATCCAAACTGCTTGTAAACCTTGCTGCAAAAACAATTAGACCGTGGATAAAATTTAGCTACTTTAATATTTACAGTTCAGTTATTTCAATGAGATATAAATTTTAGAGAGGAAAAAAGATATTCAAACAGAAAAGAAAAGAAAAGAAAAGAAAAAGATCATTTTCCTCCTAACTTTCTTCTCTAAAGCAAATAAGAGAAATGAAATCCCTTTGCTATCAAATTCTTCTTCATTTTCACTTCCTTTCTGCACTACCACCATAGTATTACGGTATTACCTGATAACAAAGAACCACAAATACTGGTGTGCTAGTATTTTAATTTCCAATTTCCATTTCTCACTTCACAATACAAGCATTAATGTTTCTCTTATATCCTAAAAGAATATTGGTGCTTACCTCACCAGCAAGGTGGAAGAAAAGGTAGAAGTATATAAATAGAAGCCTGTCACATTTCTGCACAGATAATATACAACCCTATCACAGCTTTAATCATATATAAGAGCAGCTGGAAATTTTGTAGGCTTAAATAAAGAATCTAACCAAAAATTAAGATTAAATGTACAGCCTATGGTCCATCTTCACCATCTCTTATCAAATTACATATATCAGAGCATTCCACCAAACTGCAAGAAACAACATTTAGAAAGAAAGAGAACACAAGTCAGTCAATTTTCATTAGCAAATATCAGTCACTCAGAAAAATTTATATGGCTGGCAATCATCTTCCTCATAAGATGTAGATATTCAAAGTTACAACCTAAAAAATTGAGTGATTTCCAATGGATATTACATGCGAAGGCGGAGCCAGGATTTGAAGGTTATGGTACGGGGTTCTAATCCTTTTAAGTTACTAGGTTCTAAATTAATAACTAGTACATATTCAATAAATTTTATAAGAAAAATACAGAATTTGGACCAAAGCTACTAGGTTCGGCTGAACCCGTAGCTGATGGGGTAGTTCCGCCCCTGATTACGTGGTGAACATCCTCTCTTGCAGTGATTGATGCATTTTTTGTTACAAGATTAGATTGGAGAGCTGTCATTTCTATGCTACAACAGTCCAATTTTTACTACGCTTCCACAGCAAAGCGAGGAATCACATGCAAATGCATAACTAAGCCATTGTTTCATTGACTTAAGATTTGCATAATACCATAAGCACATTCCTAATGCTCTAAAATGTAGCTCAATTCCAACATTTACATAAAATATAGGTTTCGCAATGGCAAGAATCGGGCATTTCAATTTTGAAATGTATGGCCAATCTCATCTAAAGCTTAAGCAGTTGGAGAGAACACACTTTCAATTACTTAATTATATTTATGTCACAACACACCTCCTCACGTGTGGGTCGGATTCTTTTCATGGACCAAGCACGTGGAAATATTAAGTTGGCAGAGAGATTTGAACCTAGACCTCTTGCCCGCTCTGATACAGTTTTGAAGTGTGTGACCATCTCATTTAAAAACTTAAGTTTTTACAAAACTCAAACTTTTAATTACTTAAATTTAATGTCTCAAAGATCAAAGAATGAGACTAACTTCAATTTTTTTATTTTTTTATTTTGCAAACAATATGGTGCTTTGTAATCTTTTGCTTTAGGAAAATTTAAGGATAAGAAAAAGTAGACTTGGTCTTAAAATTAGAAGAGACGAGAAGAAAAGCAGATAGCTATCATTTTCTCTTTCCTCTTGGTTTCACTTGTCTTTTTGACGACGTTAAGAAAATAACAGTAAATGAAAACTAACTAGTCCTTGGTTTCACTTTTCTTCTTTCTCCTAATTATCTATTCTTCTCTAACTGAACAACTTCTTTAGTTACTTGCTATGGCTACTGACTATACCTTCCAGCGTAGTAAGGATACTGAAGATATATGATTTTAGACAGGTACTGGAAATTAGATGGACAAATGAAAGAGAAGTGAAGACAGATGTTCATTCACCTCTTAGTATGTAAGTAGGAGAAACAAAGACGGAGGCACTTTCAGCAGTCCATGCAAAACTTGTCCGAATTTTGTTTATGTAAACTTGTAGGTTTAGCAACAGTAAAGACCAGAGAATTTAGGGAAGAGCGCAGCTAATTTTAGTTTTTTGCATCTTCTGTTGCAACAACATGATGCTTTCTTTATTTTTACTTCAGGGAAGTTGAAGGATAGAAAGCGTAGGGTTGGTCTTAAAATCTGAAGCCAGTAGAGAAAACGATTGATCTTTTCTGTTTGTATCTCTTTCATGGTTTAACTTTTCTTTTTTCCTTATTTTTGAATTAGGAAATTCCTCTTTATTTGCCTAATTTGGCCTCTAATTGTACTTTCAGTTGAATAAGAATCCTGAAGATATACAATTTATGGTAGACATTGGAATGGACGAATAAATGAAAGAGAAGTGAGCACAGATATCTATTCACTTGTTGTAAGTAAGATAGGAGAAATAAATATTGAGGTAGTTTTCAGTAGTACATGTAAAACTAGTCGGAACTTTGAAAGCGCGAAGAGGAAAAGACCTGGTTAATGCTTGAACATATTTTCTTCTTTAACTAGACAAGACATTATCTTATATTTCTTATACTATAGACCACACTAAGAACAGGAAAAGTTGTAATAGGTGCACATACAAACTGGCGACATACAGTAACTTGTTCAGCATTGCATATTTTAACAAGAGTTTGGTAAGTGATAAGTTGCATCAGTGAGTAGAGCTTAGGAGGACAAATGTAATGTAATAAATGGAGGCTTAAGGAAAATGACATATTTGAAGGAAAAACAATTACCAGTATTGGCGACTGCGAAACCCTTGCTTAAACACCACCAGAGGCCTGTAAACAAACGAGGTAAAAGTGAACCTCTCAAAATGACTTTATCAAACAGTGTCTCTTTGTCTTCATATGTTTACATCCTGGCCACGTTCAATTAATTCTACGGGAAAAAATCTCTTATGTCATGTGNGGGGGGGTTGAGGGAAGAAGGAATATGGTATTTTTTTTAACTAGGTTATCATCTATCAATAGGCATTTAATTAGCCTTCGCTTACCTGCTTATGTTCTCCTGCAAGCATTTCAATTATTATAAAGGAGGCAGGAAAGAAAAACGAACTTCAGAAGATTAAAATAATGGACTAGAAGAAGTTCAATTACATAGTATTAACCAAAATGCACCTTCCATGTAAAAATCACTTCCAATTTTTAGAGCTGAAAATCTCTTCAGATATGAGTACTTGATATCACTTTATCCTTCTATAGAATACATGCTTCACCAATAGTCAACAATGACATAAGTACAACTAAGAGAGCTGTATGGAATTTAAAAGAAGCAATGTCAAACATGAGAGAAATGCTAGATCTAGCTCATGCTTACTATCTAGTTTTCTCAGAGTATCAGTCTCACGATTTCCTGAAACTAAGTTTTAACATATATTTAAGGAACCTCCCCAAGTATGTGTAACGAAATGCCTGTGAACATTCACCTACCTAACAAGCTGATTTCTTGCTTTTTGAAGCTTTAAACTTGACACATTTCTAAATTCAAATCTAGCAGTAAATTAATGAAATCTAAAGACCACATATACTAGGACTGAAGGTATAACTGAATTCTCTTACCCCTTCCCCCTCTCTCTATTACCTTCCTTACTCTTGTTATGTCTCAATTTCAGTCAATCAGACTGCATATCTAATTTTTAGTCGTTGTAGCAGGCTTTATCCAACAACCCTCCCTATGGTAAACTACAAACGCTTGCAAGTGGTTTTGTAAGAAAAGGAGTTCATAATTGAGGTGAGAACTCTATATCTAAAACTTCCTTATTCTAGCTTGAAGTCAGGTTAGAGCAATATCAGAAGCTCACCAGCACTGAATTTGACAAACACTTCGAAATTGATAGAGATACTGAATTGGAGAACAAAAAGGGGTATCAAAAACTCATTGGGAAATGGTTGTACTTGGCAGAGAAAAGGCTAGATATATCATTTTTTTCTATAGACATTAGATCAATTTATGTGTGCTAAAGAAGTCTCATATTGGAGCAACAATTAAAGTAGTGAGATTCATTAAGAACCAAATAGGTTTGGGCTTTCTTTTATTCTTTTTTTTTGATAACTGTGGTGTCCGGGCCAGCTTGGACATACCTCGACTAATTCCACGGGTAATCTGCTACCTCCCACCAGCACAAATACCGAGTAACACTGTCCCAAGACTTATACAGATGAGAAGAAATCACTTAGTCTTTTTGCCTCCACTGGGATTTGAACCTAAGACCTCATGGTTCTCAACCCACTTCATTGACCACTAGGCGACACCCTTGGGTGCTAAGTCGGGCTCTGTCTGCTCATTAGGTTTGTGCTTACTAATGAGCAGCCAGGTGTCAAAGAGCTTACAATATATTGTGATGAAAATTCGGCTTCATGTGTGGTTACAAGAAGATCAGTGACGGGATACTATACTAAAATTAAAAGATTCAAGTATCTTAAAAGTCCAAGAAGCAAGAAACTGCACCTGAAACTGAATATAGAGGTACGGCAATAGCAATGGCAGAATTGGTTGGGACTAGTAAATTGTTAAGTGAGTTACGAGTGAAGGTAGAATTACAAGTTGACCTTAATTCTGATAACAAGGCTGCACTACAAGGAGCAAATGCCATAAATCTTATATGGATAAAGATTCAACAAGGTTTAATCAAAGCAAGTTAAGCAAATGGCAGATTGTTTGACTAAAGTCATCGGTAATCAGTTGCAAGATCACATATCATCCAAGTTTGGGATGGTTAATATTTTTCATAACACAACAAGAGCGGGATTGTAGAAACATCAGGTTGGATGTGTTGATTGAGTTGTACCTATGCTGATTCAACTTGTACATAGTTAGATTAGGTAAGCTAATAGATTAATTATTCCAACTAATTAAATCAGTGGTTAGCTTTTTGTATATACAGAGAATTGCTCAAGTACTCTATATTAGCAATGTAGATATTAATTACAAGTAAAATATAATACCTTCTAACGTTAAGGGGACCTTCACCAGGAGATCCAAGTCCACCACGAATACAAGTATTAACACATTTAACAGTACAAGTCTCAGCTTGCCTTGACTTAGGTCGTTGAATCCTCGCCTTCTTACAATCTTTCTGACCCTCAACACATTCTCCAGATAGCGTTTGCGGTACATTCGAAAAAGTTTCTCCATTTATTTCCTGTTGTGTTAACTGCTCCGCCGCTTCTGCCCCATTCACCGCCATTATCATTGCACATGCTGCAGCTGCCGCCAGTATTGCTGCAGTTATTATTGGCTTCTGCGCTCGCATAGCAGAAAAAAGGCATGTCCGTTTATCCTGACAAACATCATCGCTAGCGACAGTAATTGTGGCAGTTGCTGCTTGCAGTCGTTTGGGACTGCTGCTATACCCATAGCCGAGTCTGACCGTACAGTCTGGATAATCTACTGGAAATCTATAGAGGGATGAACACAAGCAAGAAGTTCCCATTTGTCAAAATCCGATTTTTTGCAATTCCAATTCCATTTTGTGGAAAGGCCTCTACTTTGAATTTGGAAAGTTTACCCACCTCAGGTTTCAATATATACAGTTTGATACACTATTTTCTCTTTCCGTGACACTTCGGCCTCATTAAAGTTTTCATTCTCAATTGGTAAATATGGAATCTAAAATGTGTGAAAGCCTTAGGTCCGTTTGGCCGTAGATTTTGGCTTTATTTTTTCAAAAGAAATTCAAAAACAATATTTGTTTATGAAATATGATCATGTTTTGGGGAAAAAATTCAAAAAATTTCAAGTTCCCAAAAACAGGTTTATGGTAGTTTTTGGGCGAAATTTTTTTTCCACTCACAAAATTTTAACTTTTCTTCAAATAAAATGCATATCCAAACACAACTTCAACTTTCAAAAATTATTTTTCAACACAACTTCAGAAACTATTTTTTCAAGTTTCAATCAAATCTATAACCAAACACTAGCTTAGAGTCAAGTGAAAGGATTTATGATACAAAAATTGTACCAAAACAAATATATAACGGAAAAGGTCCAAAAAATGCCCATATCAAATCCAATTTATTTAAATGAGTACACTCTATTAACCTATTGGCTCGTAAATACTCTCATTGTTATTTTTCATCCCAAATTTGACCTTGCCTCTAACGGTCTACCATACTAGCTTGAGGAGGCTTTTAACTAAAGGGAAAAGGTTCAAATTTAGCTCTGAACTTTATGAAATGGTCTAATTATCTTTGTTAATAGTTGGAGAAAAATGAGGTCCAGCCATTAGCAAAAGAGTTCAAATAGTTGATGAGTTGACCTAGACATAAGAAAGGCTCTTGAATGAGCTATTACTCATGGATGCAAAAAATGTGAAGATTTTATATGACACTAAGAATGTTGTTGATATGATCCAAAAAGAAGTGGCTACTTCATTGGAGATAGTGTTGTGTGAAGAATTTGGAAGCTATCAAGCATACTCGATCACGTGGAATTTCTATATATTCCAAGGAGGTTAAACAAAATAACTCATAGTTTAGCTAGATTTTCTATTTCTTTGTTAAAGGACGTTCTCCTAGGAGAAGTTTTTCCCAAGTTGGGTTGTCCAGGATGTGAAGAGTACATTTGAACTTTGTTGTTCGTTGTTGCAGTAATATGAGGTCCTTCGTTTCGGGAAAAAAACTAGCTTTTGAAAAATCAAGTTGGACAGGTAGTTGCTCAAGATGCATTAGCCTTAGAACATGCCAAAAACCTAAAGCACAGGGAAAGCCAGTGTGTTTCCCTCTGCAAGGAAACCCAAGTGATAGGTTATATGTACCTTATAATGTTTTGATGATCTAACAAACTTAATGACAAGAACCAGATAAAGAACCTGATACAGACCCTCAAGTACGTGGTTCCTCCAAAAAGACAAAGATTGGTGATACCCAGGATGCTGGCAAGGAAAAACTGAAAAATCAAAAGGTGTTGTGGGGCCGTACATTTGCCCCTGATATTCTGGATATGGCTGGCATGCGCCAATTGGTGGAAATCTGTGAATTCCAACAATGGACACACCTATTCACGAGTGACAGTCCCACAGTTTTTGAGGACAAAGTGGGCAATTTTTATGCCAACCTCTTTATAGTTGAGGATGATCATATTTGTATGATGGTGAATAGTGTTGATTTTGTGATGGACTCTGCTATGTTGGGAACTATTTTGGGAGTGCATGCTGAGGGTTTGTCTTCTGTTCAGGGCAACTGCTCTTCGAACTTTAGAAATGTTATCTTGAAGGATAAGGCAGTTCAGCAAGGGGAACGGGTACACAAAAAGGCCCTCTTTCTAGTGTACCAACTGCTGTTTGAATTAGTGAACAAGGTTTTGCTCCCTCGTGCCGAAAGAAGGTCCATTACATCTCGAGTAGACCTGGTTCTCATGGAAGCATTGGATGGATACACAACTATCAACCTACCTGGCATCATGATAGAACACATGCAGAAGGTGGCAGAGTTCAAGGATGGTAATCGTGGGCTACCTTACGGGTTCCTCCTCACTAAGGTTTTTGAGTTCTTCAAAGTCCCTTTGGGAAAATCTAAAGTGGGTACTCGTAAGAAATCCTTCTCCAAGACCACCCTCGAGGAATTTGAGTGCATTGGTAGGGTTGGAGGAGTTGACAGCACTTCTACTATCTCCCAGTTGATCAACACCCAAAACAGTGCCACTGATGAGATAAGGAAGCTGAAGGCAAGGAATACCATTCTTGAGGGTCAGCTTCAGGAGGCACCTAGTTCCCGCAGCTCTCACAACACAGAGGTTGCCCGTCTGACCAAAGAAAATGTCGACCTCAGGAAAGAGGTTGAAGACCTGAAGGAGAAACTGCTCAATGAACAGATGTCAGCTAATGCTCGAATGTACATCCTTCTTAAAAGCCTTGCCTCTTCATCTAAGCCTTCCCCTTCCAGTGCTCCATAGAACGTGTTCCCTTTTCAGTATCAAATTTTAGTGTCTGTCCTTTATTTTTTTTCTGATGATGTTTATGACTGGTACTTTTGTGTGCTGTTTTTATTTTGTGGATGTGTTGGTAACAATGGAACTGCTCCCTGCTTAATTTCCAAAAATTAATAGAAGTTTCATCCTTTTGCTGTGTATGTCTTGCTCTTTTGCTCTATTTTTAGTCATGATTGTGTGCACACATGTGGCATGAGTTAACCAAGCTAGACTTCATTTTGCTTATTGCTTGCTACTGATCTTTTTATGATGTCAAAAGGGGGGAAAATAATTGAGGGGGAACAAGCTGGGGAACAGATTCAGGGGGAATACAGGTTATGTGTATGTGCTGGGAACATATTCAGGGGGAATACATGTTATGTGTATGTCATTCTAGTTCTTAGGCAGAACTTCAATTATAAGTTTTTCATTATAAAAAAGGGAAAAATTGATAGGTTATATGTACTTTGTAATGTTTTGATGATCTAACAAACTTAATGACAAGAACGAGATAAGGAACTTGATACACACCCTCAAGTACGTGGGAATAACAAGTCTCAAGCTGGAGATGTAAATCAACTCTTCAGATGACAAAGAAACAACAAGGGGAATAGATGGACATCAGTTCCCCTGGTGACCGTACTCAGTCAACTCCCTACAACTGTAAAGTTGTTGCCTGCACACACAACAGTACAAAAACAGTGCATTAGTCAACTTTATGGGGAATGACCTTTACCTAACTTGCTTACATTATTCAAACGATGTCACAAATGAGTTATTTACATCAACCAAAGGTAAAACAAAATACTTGCACACTCTAGAATTCATCAAGCTTTCTCTCAAGTGTATTGCCAACCTGCAAGTGACCTTCAAGGCATCAAGAAAAAAGAGCAACATAATGAAGGACCGGTTTCCAGCATTGAGTCATCATATGTCCTTGGTTGTGTAGCACCTTTGTCAAAGCAACTTACTTGTAATTCCTACTTAGCCTAGTTAGAAGCATTGTGTAGGAAACCTTTGTAAATCATAAACCTTTGTGTTTGTGTCTTGACTAGAGTTAGTCGAGTTGTAAGTCTTTGTAGTAGAGTTATTATAAAGTGGCTTGTAATAGAGTTGTTACAAGTTAGTAAGGGATTAAGAGGTTAATTCCTAGGTTACAACAGGTTGTAATCTAAAGTTTGCTCAGTGTTGAAGTTGAAATCCTACAAGGGTAGGTCGTAGTTTTTAATCCCGTGAGCTGGAAGTTTTCCACGTAAAACCTCTTTGTGTCATTTACTTCTGTAGTGTGCGTGTGTTCTGTGAGAACTAATAGAGAACCTGGTTCTCTATATAGTTTGGTGGACCCTTAAATTCATTCAATTGGTATCAGAGCAGGTTCTTTCTATCAGGCTAACACCTAGAAAGGATCCTCATGGCCGCTCCACCAAACTTTGAAGAAGGTCAATCAACCTACAGACCACTATGATTTAATGGCCAATACTATAGATGGTGGAAGACAAGGATGCATGATTTTATCATGGCTGATGGTTCAGAGATCTGGGATGCTATCTGCGATGGTCCCTTCTTTTCTATGAAAACCATTGGAGAACCAGCAGTGACAGTTCCCAAGTCTAGGAAGGAATGCAGCGATGTTGACCGCAAGTCTATAGAGAAGAACCTGGTCCTCAAGACAGACAACAATGAATCAAGTGGTGAGGATGCTGATATGGCTTACTTGACAAAGAGATTTCAGAAGATGGTCCACAAAAATTGAGGTATTCCAAATAAGGGCAGCTCTAGCAAGCCAAGAGGATATGACTTATGTCATAAGTGCGGGAAACCAGGGCACTTCATCAAGGATTGCCCTCTCCTCAAGTAAGACCAGTACAAGCACAACATAGACAAAGCAGCCAACAGGAACCCGCTTCCTGAGAAAGGATTTAAAAGAAAAGAAGTTGCTGATAATGTTATGAAACAAGCTCTTGCTGCATGGGGAGGCTTTTCTAGCAAATCTGGAGAAGATGATACACAAGGTGACACCTCCATGATGGTAGTAGAAAGTGAAGGAGCTGATTATGATTCCATTTTTGCCCTGATGGAAAAATCTGACGATGATGAAGATAATGATGATGATGAGGTAGACTTTCTAGACGTTCAGAGAAATCTGAAGTCTTACTCTCAGAAAAAGCTCATATCCTTGGGAAATATTTTAATTGTCGCTTATCAGAATCTTATAAACGATAAAAATTCCTTAACTATAGAGTTAGGAGAGGTAGAAAATGAGAGAGATGATTTGGTAGTTGTAGTGGCCGACATAAAAGAAACCATCGAGAATCTAGTGAAAGAAAAAAATGTTCTGATGAAAAAGGTTGAAAACATAGAAAATGAGAGAGATGACTTGTTAGTAGTCATCATGGACCTAAAAGAAATAATAGAGGAATTAAAAAGAGGAAACAGTTCCGGGACTGTCCAAAAGGGGAAGGAAGTTGCAAGTGAGGCACACATTAAGCTTGAAAATGAACTACAATCTGTGAAATCTAGTATGTGTGCTGAACTTGAAA